TGTGTGTTCCGAAAACTGATGAACGACTTTGTGAAGCTTGAATTGGTCAGAGCTGCGCTCAGAGAGCACAGGGATCTGGCCTCCTTGTTGCAGCAAGCAGTAAAGGAACAACTGTTTTAACCATTTGAGTAAAAATGTTTTTCCATTTCAAAAGCTATTTTTTACCCATACAAATAAAATGTCATTAAAAAGCACTTTTTAAATTTACTCAGATTATCTACATACTTTTTTTTTTGAGGCTATGAAACATTGAAATTTGACTCCCCCCTCCCCCTAAAAAAGCGCATACTAAAATTCCTTCTCTCATGGAATGTAATTATCGTCTGTCTTGTTTAAAATCAATACTACGACCTTACAGCAAGCTTCAGGATTTATTCATTTTTTTACCAATGCGTGTCTAGACAAAATATCATTTAAATGTATTTTTTCAATGTCACGACTTACATTGTGACACTTTTTGAAGCCTTTTTCGAATAAAAAAGTAAAAATAAAGGTGTCCTTCCTTGAATGAAAATGCAACAAGGAGCTTGATTTGGCTTGCTGTGCTAACAACAAGGTGTGGGCTCTTTTCAGAATAGCAACACAGCATGCTCTGTTTGCCTTCTAGCCCTTCCAGCAAGAACCAGCCTGCTCCTTGATCCTGGCTAATCCTCTGTGCTAATCTGCCCCAATCACGAGTGAGAGCCAAGGCAGGAATAGTCCGACCATCACAAGTCCCAATCTAACGTCCCGTACCATTCACAACTTTCAATGGGGTAAGACGTTTTGGTGTCCCAGACCAGCAACGGGCCCAGAGGCCGGAGACAACTCTCCGGGGTAGAACCATGTGCACCACCATGATGGTCCTGACCACCATCGCTATCATCCTGCGCCAGAGGTTCTCCAATAAAATCAAACCGTGAGTACTGGTACCATCAACCTTTTAGATAATATTGAATAATGTCCTTGTGGTTACAGTCTTGATTTTTGATTTTTGATTTTTTTCAACTGTTCTTTTTCTTTTTTTTTTAGATGTAGACACAAGAAAAGAAGCGATGTATAGTTAATAGGACTAATTACATAACGTGCTTCCAGCGAGTTCTGAACACTCACACGTACAAGAATCATACAAAACAAAAATGCATATGTGTTTCACGTGTGGGAGAAAGTGTGAAACAGAAAGAAGGGACTTATCTTGCATCATTGATTTGAAATAAGTCCTGTGATTATTTAAGGGTTAGCCTCGATCGACGGCGTGTGGATTAAGTGCGCTGCCTTCATAACAACCACGTATTCCGGCTTTTCTAATGGGAAGATGGATAGAGGAGAAAATAGCGGCGCTCTCGAGTTCGTGGCTACTAATTGACTCAAAGTGCAATCTTTCCATCTCCCCCCAGGGCCTACTTACCCACTCTCCAAGCAATAGCAAACAATGACACGTGGCTATGGCACCGTGGAGCACGGCAAACATCTGGCTCGCACAATTAGGAGCTGATAAAAAAGAACCTTGTTTTTTAATGAGGCCCTCATCCTGCAAAGCAATTTACGTTTTTTTTTTTTTTTTTACTACTTTAGACTGAGACATGGACAAAACCTAAAAATAAAAATAAAAAATAGACGTCCCAAACCTTTGCTCATGTTTTTTGTTGTTGTTGTGACTACAGATTCTTGGAATTTGTAAAACATTACATCAGTGAAAAGTAAAAAAAACAAAAAAAAAAAAAAAAAAAAAAATGGATTTTTGAATTTTCAGTGTATTTGATTGGAATTTCGTCCAAAAGTTTGAACATCTCACCGTGCAAAGTTCAACTTCAACAAAAGAAGCCCATGCTGACTCTTGAAGAGCCGCAGAGCCCTACTACACAGAGGTCAGATTTTGTTGTGCTCACCACACATCTGGCCGTAAGGGAAAAGCGGCAAGAAGAAAGACAACGTGACCCCATGGCAAAGATCTACAAAGGTCTCCGCACATCTGGAAAGATGTGTTGAGATCAAAGAGACCTAGATCAAAAGCGATGCCTCTTTGACCCCAGCAAAACATGTGACCCATGGGTTGCCGGGGTCACATGCGGCAAACATGCGGAAGAATCTGCTTCAGTCAGATTAGACTCTATTTGAACTTTTTGGTCAACTTTGAAATTTGAATTTACGAAGAGGAAAACCGCACTACACCGCTGGGTTGTTTTTCTTCAGATGAGACAGGGAAGATGGTGAGAGTTGATGAGCAGCAGATGGAGTCAAATACAGGACAATCCTGGAAGAGACTGCAAAAGAGTAGAAAATGGGACAGAAGTCCTGAGTCTCCAGATGTGCAAAGAGACATAGATAAAAAAAAAAAAAAGTTGCAGCTGCAACTGAACTGAAAGACAGCTCTAAAATTTGTTGACCCAGAGGAGCTGAGATGAACTGAACTTTACAATGAGGGGGTGGGGGGGTTCTATATATTTGCGTGATATCATGTACATGTCCGTTCACAGGCAGAATGACAACGCTGATATGAAAATGCCGTACATGAAGAGCAATGGGACAACGGAAACCCCACAATGACAACAACTAAGGGTAAGGACACTAAAGCAAATCAAAGCAATTCAGTGAGACCGCAACATTTTTGCAACAAGACACTTTTCTCATTTTAGTTGCTTTGTAGTGTTTACCGTCTGAAGCATTTTTCTTTTTTTTTACCATTGACACTGCTGCTTATTGTTGAACTTTCTGTAGAAGCACAATCAAAAAAGGGTGGGGAAAAAAATAGATTGTTGATGAAAATTCAAAATATAACGCATTAAAGACACCAGATGAAAACTGAGAATGTCTGAGGGGTGCAAAAGTGGAGCACTGGAGTATGACGCAGAGGCACAGATGCATAAAAAAGCCTAGAAGCCTGCCCCACATTTGGCTTTTAAGTTCTACTAAAGCTGAATGATTTAGAGGCCCAACAACAATCCGTCATCTCTTTGCAGGGTTATTATAAATGCATCACCTCACTGCCACCGCGCTTTTAAACACAGGGGTGTCACGTCTCTAATCGTAAGCAATGAGCCAAATAATAATAATTGTAAAACAAATAAAACACTGTGACAATGTGACATTTTTTTTTCCTCTTTTATTGACCCATAGAGGTGTTTTGTTGAGTCACGACAATTCATTTTTTTCTAAATGAATATTTTTAGACAATCGCAAATTTTAGCTTCCCAGTTACATGAATCTTAAAAAAAAAAAAAGCTTAATGAAGGAGTGAATCTTTTGGTATTTAAACTCACAAAAAGCTGGGAAAGGAGGAACACTAATAAAGCCTAAAATGTCAGCGATTTTCTTCAAAGCTCTTTCGTAATTGGGGGGGGGGGGTTTACAAATAGGGTACTTTATCAAATCTCATTGCACTTTTTTCCCACAATCAGTTATCTTCTCTGAATATGTGAATTTTTCTTCGCGCTCTCTTTGCACATTTCACCCTGACTGAAATGAGACGCATGCTCCGAGGCACGCATCCCATCAGAGAATTATGAAAAATTCATACTTGTTGCTCACCCTGTCGAGAAAACTGCAGAGTAATTGAATTTACCGTGACGCGGGAGGGAAACATCGCCTTCTGAGAAGTCCTCCCCTGGTTTGGAGGAAACTAAATATCCCTGCATTCGTGGCGTTCCAGTGCAAATATTTAAAACACAGAAGATGTTTTTTGTTTGAAGGATATGACTAATGAGTTGAGAGAAGCCAGAAAAGCTTGTTTTGGAAATCTGACAGGAAAAGAGTGGTGGTGTCTGCCCCACACTGAGCTCCGGAGTGTTTACTGATGCGATAACACTAAAAGATTTAGAAGGCAAACAACACAATCTCTTCTAGAAAATGTTTCAAATACGGCCCTGTCTGGCCCCCCCCCCCCCTTAGACCATTACATCAAGCAGGCGTTAATGCATTTAAAGGTGGACTCTAGAAAGTTATGAGGAAAGCAGAATAAAACAAAGGCACACCACACTTTTTAGATTGTTCTTTGCAAAATAAACGTCAAAAACCATGTATCATGTATCATATCACTTGAAAGACATAAAATACACTAAAATATGAGGTTGTAGCACAGCAGAATATAAAGCAGTCAATGTAGTATGAATGTTCTTAAAAGGCACTGCAAAGGCAACAAAATAAATGGTTTGTTTTTGCTTTGTTTTGTGTTTTCCTAGTGGATTCAGATGTCGGCCTGCTCTGTACAGATGAAGACTCTGATCAGGAGAATATATAAAGGAACATGGCCGACACAAATGGCGAGAGCTGTTCTGACGTGGCCTCGCCTTCCATGTTCAGCGGGGGTTTTCATTCCTGGAGCAGGAAGTGTCAGCACAGGTTCAAATTCCACTGGAAGAGGGATGATACCTTACAAATGCTGAATTTGAGCCATTAGACATTATTCATGACCTTCAGGCTTGTGTTTTTTCTTGTTTAAGGGGAGTATGTTTCTGACTCATGCGTAAAAAAGGTCAGGAACTACAAAGTGCACTTTGAAAAAAAATGTATTCTCTCCAATTAAATGAATTAATTTAAAGTCCAGGGTTTTATTCTGCCATTAAAGGTAAAATAAATAAATAAAATAAAACTTAATGTTTTCTTCTTCTACTGTGAAGCTACCAGAGATGTGGACTTGGCATAAAATGACTTGGACTCAATTCAGACATGGATCACAATTTTAATCATTTTAAGCTCAACAATGAAATCACAAATTAGACCCTAATACCATTGACTCATAACTTTTTCCAGACTTAAGCCTTTTAAATATTTTTATTTTTTTCCATCAAACGAAAATGTGTCCCTCATGCATTCCTTCAGTTGGCTAAGGTTAATTTAACTGATTTTCAGTCAGTTTACGCCGACTACCCAGAGTTCCTAGATTTGACACAACAACCAGTGAAGTTGCAGATAAAAAACATGAAGAAATACAGCGATGTTACCCAGCAGTGCCATATGGAGAAAACTGGCACCTTCGCACGTCCTCAAAGTACAAACCTTGAAATAACCTTTTTAAAATAATTGAACTTGCTGAAATGTAAATAAATCAAAGCCTTAACTATGAAACATTCTTAAACCGATGTTTCCTTAATGTAGTTTCCAGTTAATTTTGTGCATTCTAATAAAACACATTTTAGGAAAAAAAAAAGTAGTTGAACTAACAAAGCTATCTTGTGTTACTATGTTCCTACATGAAATCCAGTCATTTAATAAACACATGACCTTTATGATGGTCATGTGTTTATTGACCATGATAAACACATTGCCATGGCCAATAAACAGCTGGTCATGTGTTTTCTTATTTTTTTCCAAAAAAAAAAAAAAAAACTACCATTTTTGTTTCTTTCTAAATATCGGAAAGAAGCAAAAGTAGTAATATTTTGTCTTCTAAACTGGGTCAAAGGTTTTAGGAATCCTTCCTCCAGGAAGTTTGCTGGAATTTTGGACATTCCTCTTCACAGAACTATAAGCAAATCAGATTTTCCAATTGTAATAGATTTTATCTATTATAAAATGTATTGCATTCATAATAAAAAACTAAAAATCTTCTCTTTTTTTAAATTTGGGCTTCTGTTGCATTTGTGGCTCATTCCACCATATAAACAACAAAACCGTTCTGCATTAATAGTTTTTGGAAACTGCAATTAGTCATATATTTGGTCAATTATTTGTTTCAGATCATAAATTGGATGGACTTATGCCTTGAATGGGGACTTAAGTGAAAAGACATCAATTTTAGAAGAGACTTCTAACTTAGCCCCACCCTCTGAATAGATTACTATTGTTTTCAAACTCAACTTTGACCTGTACTGCACTTAAAGGGAAAGGTCAGGGTGGTATTCAGAAATATGTAAAAAAAAACGATTGCAGAAAACATCAGGAAAACTGAAAATGAAAAAAAAAATAAAAGTACTGTTATTATTTATGTAACCTAGAGCAAATAAAGAGAATTTATTTCTACAGACCAAGACTGAAGGTATCAAATCTGACTTTATGTCAAAGACAGACAACAGTAAATCAGACGGACATTAAACTTAATAAAAATGTTCTTTTTTCTGAGCGACATCTAGACATATTTATGTTTTTACTTAAAACAAAGTGTTTTGGATAGAAGGTGCTTAGACCTCTTAGTAGTACGGAACAAAATGTTTCCATTTATTCAATTTATTTAAATCTATATTCCTGCCTCCCACAAAAAAAAAGAAATACTGTAAATACATGCTAGATAAATTGAAAAAAAATGTGCCTCAACCACCACAATAAGTCCTTTGACTATGACTGCTTCAGCACATTAAACACAGATGTGGGGAAACAGCATTTATCTTAGAAAATCTTAGCTTTCCTGATTTCAAATGGCTGAGATTATGTACTTTACTGAGTCATCCTGTGAACCTTACAGCTTTATGTTGTTGTCACACTGTACTCCACATCACTAAATAAAGCAGTGGAATGCCTCTTTGTTGTGTTTTGTGTGTCCTGCTGAAACTCAGTGAAGCACAGAGACGGGCTTTGCTGTCGTCTTTTAAAGAGTTTATTATGATGAATACTTCTCTGGTCTTTTTGATGGTCTCTCCAAGTTTTTCTTGGACGCTGGATAAAGCAATAAAAGTCCAAAGGAAAGATTTAGAAAGTCTGAGGAAACAGGACTACTGGGGAGCACAAAGACTAACTTGAATAAATAAAAGAAAACTCATATTTATCATGCGAAATGTAATCCCGTCATTACCTGAGTAAATGTAAAATTATCCAAGCTTGTAAATTTTCAACTAAACAGCAGCTGGACAATCCATTTGAAAAACTGTATTGTTGCAAACTATATTCTATATGTCTGAAATGAGTCATGCACAATATGTTTACATTTTCTAAGAGAAATATTACTAGATTATGTCCTCCAGGCATACTGGATATTTTGGGCCATTTAAGCCACTGCATTGCAAACAATGCTTTCCTTAAATGGAGAATGGACCAAGTCCGGTCCTCAAGAGGTGCTCTTGTGGAGTAAGTCAAAGCATATTCATGTATACGTAGAGTGACCCAGTCAAAGTCCATGCCTAAATCTAACAGAGAATATGTGGTAACACTTGAACACTGATGCTCAGGGTTGCTCTCCATCCAATCTGACTGAGATAGGAAAGGTCGTTCTAAAAGAGTGTTTGCTTGTCCTACTTGGTCTGTCTCATAAAGTCCATTAATGTTCAGTGTAGTTATAACATCACACATCTTAGAAAAGATAAGTATTGAACACTGTAACAAAGCATTGCATCAGTCAGATGGCTTACAAATTTACTTTGACCTATATACAAGTAAAAACAAATGTTCCGTGTATTTCATCTCTGGCTTAATAGGAGACGAATGATTAGGCTCACCAGTGACTTGATGACACATATTGACGTGTCATCAAGATGACCTCACCTAATGGCAAGCCTTGACCTGACCATTTGCACTGCATCAGTCAGATGGCCCTTTAGCTCCATCTGACCATTAGGTGAGGTCAAAGTTCACCATTAGGTGAGCTTTGACCTCACCTAATGGTCAGGTCAAAGCTCATTAGGTGAGCTTTGACCTCACCACCTAAAGAAATAGTCTAATGAGGATATTTACCTACTTTATCTTCCACCAACCGGTTTCACCTTGGGTTGCCACCCGTCCTGTAAAATATGAAATTGTCCGGTATTTGGCTGTTAAATGTTGCGTCCCGTATTGAACCGATTCGGGACGCGATTTGTTCCGTAATCTATAAATGTCCGATAGACACGCCTGTCACACGCATTGTTACTAAGTGTAACAATAATGACCAAAATAAAACAGGAAATATTAAGGTCAGCTACATTCTCGTTGCGGGAGCTGAAGGGCCCAAGAACGCTACGGACTGACGCTGTTGTCACGGTTGCCTAGAGACGGATATTACGCAGCCGCAGTGAGCTGCTATCAACCCGGATCTTTGTAAAACGTCCTCGACCCGATTCTCCACCGTCCTAAAAAGCAAAAAATCTCATAAAGATACAGACGTGCGAGGGATGACGCAAATCCTTGGCTGAATAATATTAGTGAGGATGAATAAAGACAATAATAATAAAAAGTGTCCATCATGGCGCAGTGTGTACTGTATGAATGGATGAGAACCTATGCACCAGACATCAGCGTTTCTTCTTCCCTCAATCATCTCCTGAGGCTGATATGGTACAGAACATTTTGCTATGAGTAAGTTTCTTATTGTGCTTTATACTGGTTTGATTATTAGCTTATATAATGTATGATAATATAAGCCAAAATAATACAAATGGCGATTTAAAGAACAAATCATACAAATAGATTAACACTAAATACATAAATATTTCCTACTTTAAAGGGTTTGTTAGGGCTTTCTGTAGGTTTTATTTTGAAATGTTGATATATTTTATGAATTCATTGTTCAGTGGTCATTTAATGTATTATTAATGCACCAGACCCAGACCTGCAGCCTTGGGCACTTCTAGATGAGGGCCAACGGGGAACCAAAGAAGTTATACTAAATAAATGTCTTATGTTAATACTCAGTGGTGGATCACTTTTTTTTTTAACCTTCACAATTTTACTTTAACAATGAATTAAAAATTATAGTGCTGCACTTTTAGTTGCTCTATAGGATCATAATTTCCATCTGCCAGGGATCTGCAACCTTAATCTCTGGAGACACAAGTGGCTCTTTAGCTCACTTATTATATCAAATTATGAAGTATTGTTCTGTTTTTTTTTGTTTTTTTTTTTCATTCTTTTCCAAGTGTCGCCATGGAAAAACACCAACTATCCTGGCCCCTGTGGTAAATTTCGTCTTGAACCTGCCTCCAAATCTAACTCCTTATTTCTATAAATATTTCAGTAATATTCTTTACAGTACAAGAATGTTCACATAACTTTTAGCTGTCTGAGGATATGAATATTAAATCAGGTGTTATGATCAGTTACTCAGTACTTGAGTAGTTTGCCAAATACTTTTTACACTTGCTTAATTAAACGTGTTTAAGGAATGCTACTCTGATTGGAGTACAATTTTGGGGTACTCTAACCAACTATGCATGAACGATTGCTCTACGGATCGCTTTTTAAAAACAAAATAATGTCTATCACTGCAGCGGACATCCCGCCCCATGAGAGTAGGACGATGCGCCGTGGGGAGCGTCCCTTATTTTGATATTTGAAAGGTGACAACCCTAGTTTCACCATTACAAATGTCTGACGCCATCTAGTGGTGAACCTGTCTAGTCCCTCGCACCAATGCGTTTTTTTCTCTCTCTCGGATAAAAATATCAACTGTTATGTGTAAGAAATTAGTTTTTCGAATATATTCCAAACTATGTTGTAAATTCAACGTATTACCATAAAAATCTCTAATAAAACTACATTACCCAGATTGCAGCTGGATCAGTAAACAGGAAGCTCATGCTTTACCGGTACAACCGTGTACAACAGTCTGTATGAAAATTATTCAGGTGTAGGAAACACTGTTTCGTACTCATTAATTTTATATATGTATACTGCTAACCATTAGGTTTGTGCTTTATTAGCTAAAGAGTGTAACGGGGCTTGACACACGGTATTCCTGACGGTGAGGTATATTACCGTGAGGTTGGCTCATTTAAGAAGTGGGTAAATAAACGCTAAATACATCCTTCTGGATAAAAAGCGTGTCTATCTCTATCTGTTACATTGAAACCCGCTGTTTATAGTTTTTTCTATCGCTAATATAAAATAAGACGCGGCGTAGAGCGACGGAGTGGTTACCAATGGAGACAGGAGACGCCTAAACAGATTTAGCTAGCTTTAGCTCGTTAGCTTCCTTCAAATCTTTCCGCTACCAGCCAAGATTCATTATGGTGAGTTAACATGTCCTTTTTCTAGGGTCAAAGGATGTCCTGGAGCTGTTACACAATGTTTTTTTTTTTCTGTATAGATCTGGTTTGTTCAATGCTTTTCCATTCTTTAGGAATTGTGTGAAATAATAACATCAATGTTAGAGTAAATACAATTATACATTTTTGTTATTTTTGTTGGCATTCCGCAGCCTACAAAGCCGAAGAGTAAAGCCTCCCAAAGTAAGTTCACCGGCTGGATGTTTGAAAGTCTTTGTTAAGTTGATTTTTTTGAACAGCAAATGAATACATGTTTAACATTGGAATACATCAAACCATTAAAAAAAATATTTAAAAAAACAGATATGAAAAGTATGTCTTCATAAGTACGTTTTTTTTAAGTCTTTAAGTAAAAGTTTGTTATTTTCAAAAAGTACTTTTAACCTGATAAACTATTTGGGACTATTTGTGATTCTAAC